AACCAGTAGTTTAAACTACTGGTTTAAACGACTGGTTTGTTTTTCATATAAAACCTTATATTTAAAATGTATTTTATTTTGAAAGTCAGCATACTCACAGCATTTAATTTGTCCGTCTTCTTGGCCTCGGGCTCCTTCATGGTGGAGGCCAGCAGCTGGTCGCCCTTGTAGTCCTTGTAGAGCTCAGCCAGGGTCTCTCTGGTCTCCAGGTTGGTGCTCTTCAGGTGGTACGCCGGGTCCTGCTTGGCCTTCTCCTCGTCTGAAGAACAGAGGAGGTTTGAACTGGAACAAACTGGTTTTACTCACCACTCCGAGCGGCTGACAACTCACCGGGGTCCAACATCTTCACGTTGTTCTTTACGTGGAAAAAGTTGGACACGTTGAATTTATCCAGGTTTGTCGGGTCCTGCGAAGACAACAAAACAAAAACAAAAACAAAACACAAAACACAAAACAAAAACAAAAACCAAACCAAAAACAAAAATCAACCCAAAAAAACCCAAACCAAAAAACAAAAATCAAAAACAAAACAAAACAAATCAAAACAAAAACCAAACCAAAAACCAAACCAAACCAAAACAATACAAAAAACAAACAAAAACCAAACCAAAAACAAAAATCAACCCAAAAAAACCCAAACCAAAAAACAAAAATCAAAAACAAAACAAAACAAATCAAAACAAAAACCAAACCAAAAACCAAACCAAACCAAAACAATACAAAAAACAAACAAAAACCAAACCAAAAACAAAAATCAACCCAAAAAAACCCAAACCAAAAAACAAAAATCAAAAACAAAACAAAACAAATCAAAACAAAAACCAAACCAAAAACCAAACCAAAGCAAAAACAAAATAAAACACAAAACAAAACAAAAACCAAACCAAAAACCAAACCAAACCAAAACAATACAAAAAACAAACAAAAACCAAACCAAAAACAAAACAAAACCAAAAACCAATCAAAAAACAAAACCAAAAACCAAACCAAAACAAAAACCAAACCAAACAAAAACCAAACCAAACCAAAAACAAAACACAACACAAAACCAAACCAAACAAAAACAAAAACAAAAACAAAAACACAAAACACAAAACAAAAACAAAGCCAAAAACCAAAAACAAAACAAAAAACAAAACACAAAACACAACCAAACCAAAAACAAAAACCAAACCAAACCAAAGCAAAACAAAAACAAAACAAAACAAAACAAAACAAAAACAAAACATTTAAGATGAGCTCAGAGTGGAGTTTTCTAAAGAACATGTTTAAAAAAAAACTAAAAACCTGAAGCGTTATGAGATCCTTCCTGGTGAAGGGTTCATCCGTCAGCAGGTCTTTAAAACTTTTGGTCTTAATGTTGAGCTGCTCCACAGCCTGGAAAAAAAAAACAACTAAAGAAATTATATTTCCTGTGAAAATGCTTGTGTGAACACTTCATGCTGAAAACTTCAGCTGCTGGAACTGAGCTGAAAATATTTAACAGGAAAAGTGTTGATGTGAAAAGCTGAAGAAAAGCTGAAAGAAGCAAAAAACCCTAACTTTGCAGGAAAACAGTAAAAAGGAGCAGAAATCTAGTTGGAAAAAAACAGCTAAAAGCTAAAATAGCTGAATATAGCTGGAAACATCAGTAAGAAATTTAAATAGTACTACGTAGCGGAAAAAAGCAGAAGAATAGCATAAAAAAAGTGGATCTATAGCTAAAGTAGCATAAAATAGCTAAAATTTGCATAAAATAAGCTAAAGGTAGCAGCCACAATTTGAAATCAGCATCCAGTTGAAATAGTTGAAAAATAGCTAAAACAGAAAAATATGAGAAAAAAATATAAAATCACATAAAAGTGATAAATTGTAGTAAAATAACTAAAACAGCTGAAATTTTCTGTAAAACAGCTTAAAACTAGCTGGAAATTATTTAATTAGCATAAGGAAGCATAAGAAGCACAAGTTTGCTGAACTTAGCTGAAAAAAATTGTAATAGCTACAAAAAGTGTATTTAGCTTAGAAAAGCTAACTTTAGCTAGAATTTCAGCAAATAGCTGAATCTATCAGAAAGCATCTGTAAGAAACATAAATAACACAAACTAGTAGATTTTTTTTCTTAACTTTTTTCAATAAAACGGTGCTTATAGTGCTTTTTGCCTCTGGACCACTAGAATTAACCTCATCTTTGTTCCAATTTAGCAATATTTGCCGCAATTTCATCTTTTAACTTTGTGTTTTCTCTCATTTCTTTAATTGTTAAATATTCTGCTATCAGCACAAACTAATCTAGTCCCTGTTTGAAGAGTCCAGGTGGAGTTTTGCATCTGGATCAGGTCTGGTGTGGTCCAGATGCATAGAAGGTGATGAAAACAGCTTTTATTGAAGTTTCACAAATCAAACCAAGGTTTCACAAATCCCAAGTTTGGTTTTAAATATTCTGCATTTGGTGTAGAATAATCTAATCCAGGTTTGAAGAGTCTGAGTATTTTAGTTTTTAAACTAGAGCAGATTAAAGATGTAAGGTAGAGAAAAATTAGGTGGAACCACATTTCTCAAATGGGTAGCATGAGCACGCTGATATTGTTTTAACAGCTTCTCTATTCATACACTGTTCAATATTATGTAAGTTTCAAAATATTTTAATTCACAGAAAACTTTTTTTACATAATGTACATTTATGTACAGTGCATCTGAAAGTATTCACAGCACTTCATATTTTCTACATTTTGTTATGTTACAGCCTTACTCCAAGTTGTATTAAATTAATCTCTTTCCTCAAAATTCTACACAAAATACCCCATTATGACCCATTAATACCCCATTATGACCCATTAATACCCCATTATGACCCATTAATACCCCATTATGACCCATTAATACCCCATTATGACCCATTAATACCCCATTATG